GATTACAGGTGTGAGCCACTATGCCCAACCTTGTCAGAACTTTTTCTTCACATTATCAATATCCATGTGTATATACTAAAGTTTAAAAAATCAGTGGGATCACACTTTACACACTGACTTATTTTCACGATACACATGGATTGCATAATTCTTTTAAACCTCCATAGGGTACATCATTGTATAGATGTGCCACAGTGTATTTCGCCCATTCTTGTTAACGGACATTTAGGCAATTCCTATTTTTTCACTACTATAGTGTTGCAATAAATGATCTTGTGCTTTCAAGTCTCTCTGCTGCAATCCATCCTGTTTACCACTGCCTGGGTTAAGGGAGGGGCAGAAACAGAGTATCAGTAGGGGCTTGAGGGCTTCTGGGTAATTACTGCAGGGATTTGGTCCTTGCCCCTGACCCCTAGAGGTGCTAACCTCTGTTCTCAAGAAAACAGAGATTTGTGCACCGCTGGCCACCACTGCTCTTCTCCCTTGTTACCATCCTCTTGGGCATCATTAAAGGGTTGGCGATGACACAAAATTGATAAAGGAAGACAGAGCTACGGCTGCATGTTGGGGATGCTGAAGAAGCACGTGGACCCCAGCAACCTTCTACACGGTGTGGGCCTGTTTAAGAGGGTCTGCACTTATAGAGCACTCTAAATTCCCTGGAGTGTTCTGTGCTGTCTGGAGGTGTTTCTGGAATCTACCTGATGGGCTGAGGTGTTGTAGGAAAGGGTACAAGGGACTGTGGGTGTCTATGATGGCAGGAGGGTGCAGGGAATGCACTTTGCATCTTGCAGAGGGATTTCTGCCAGATGTGAGTGTGTGCGCATGGCTGGGGTTGCTGACAGGGTGCTGTATGTGCCTGAGTGTGGATGTGACCAAACTCAGGGATATGCTGCTGTTAAATGAAGCGAGGCATTGCCATGGCAACACAAGTCTCTGCTCCCAGCCAGATGCCGAGGCCTTAAATTATATTTTTCTGGCTGAAAGCACCTCAGTTGCCTCTGGTCTCCAAAGCAATGGGATCATGGGGACACCAGATGCCTCACCCTGGTCTCCAACCTTTTGACAAAGCCCAAGAGGTGATAAGCAGGGGGGATGGCAAGGAGGCATGGGTGGATTTTGTTTGTTGGGGGTGGGGTGGGGCCTGGGAGGAGCGTCTGGTGAAGGAGGCTGGAGAGAGCCACCAACACACTCCACGTTTATCATCTCCTTGTCCAGTGACCTAGCACTTATTCCAGAAGGAAAATGTATAGTAATGCCAATAGAGAGGCCAGTCATTTCTTCCACTAAATACTTCCTTTCCATCCATCCGTCGTTCTTTGGTTTTGAAGCGTTAAGTCTTCTGTATCATCAGGGCCACAGGTAACTGATTTGGGGTAGACAACTGATCCAAAAAATGCCAAGCTGATTTTTTCCCCAACAATCTGGATTTGGGTCATCTATATGCAAGTAACCTGGAAAACTGGGGGCTGAAGGTGCCATCCGAGGGGAGCCCTGTGCAAGTAAAATTAACAAAGAGGGATGGAATAAGAAGGAAGCAGAAAGGCAGGAAAAAACTAAGACCGAGAGGGAGGGAGAGTGGGGGAGACAGCAATGTGGCAGATGCTGCGGGTCCTGATGTTTTTCCCAATTCCCAGTGAGGCGGAGCTGCACTTCCTGTCCTTGGTTGTTTTTTGTATTTAGTAGGTTTGTGTCTTGTAGTGGAATGATCCCTGATCAAGGCACTCTGAGCATTTGGGTTAGGTTAGGCTGGTGATGCTAGCAGTGCCTTTTGGAGCCACATCCCCACTCAGAATAAACAGTGAATTCCTAGAAAAAAGTCTTCTTGGATATGCACAAATGCTTAAAATGATGCTGTCCCCCTTCTCCAGCCAATTATTTGCAAAGGACTTCTGTGATATACAATGTCACATTAAGAGTATGATAAAATGTTCTTCATTCAACAATATTTAATTGAGCAGCTACTACGTACCAAAAACAACTCTAGGTGTCAGGGAAATAGCCCAGAACAAGACAGAAAAAAAAAAAAAAAAAAAAAGAAAGAAAGAAAGAAAGGAACAAAAAATGCCTGCCCTTCTTTGGAGGACACAAATAATAAAGAGTGAAAAAAAGATACAATAGCAGATAGTGCTAAGGGCAATGAACAAAATAAATGATTTTTATCATGTGAGTCATACAGAATCACAAACTATTAAGGCTGAAAGGTCTTCAGAATTTTCCAAATGCTCTTATTCCCACAAGACCAATGAAACAACAGAGGAACTAACAAACAGCCTTTAGGCAAACAGGATGGTGAAGCTAAGCCTAGCTCCTTCTTTGTCACTTCCTACAGGAAAACTGTCGTTGCCATTTCTGGGTTAAATGCCCCTCCCACTGCACCTTGTACTTGGCCCATGGCAGCATACTTTTATGGCAACCCTGCTTACGTAGGTGTTTTCTCCACTCATAGAGGGACCTGAGGGCAGAAACAATGCCTGTCACATTCACCTGGCACAGCAACTCACTTCATAGACCAGGCGTCCCCAAACTTTTTACATAGGGGGCCAGTTCACTGTCCCTCAGACCGTTGGAGGGCCGCCACATACTGTGCTCCTCTCACTGACCACCAGTGAAAGAGGTGCCCCTTCCTGAAGTGCGGTGGTGGTGGGGGGGTGGGTCGGATAAATGGCCTCAGGGGGCCTGCATGCGGCCCGCGGGGCCATAGTTTGGGGACGCCTGTCATAGACGCTCAGTAGTTGCTGGATGGATAACAAGGGCTTGATACCTGACAACAGCAATCCTGTTTATTTCACTCCCTTAGGCAGTTCTTACACTATGTGACCTTCCAAAGGCAAGAAGAGTTGGTTAGTAACACAGACGTAGGGTCACTGTCTTCAAAGACAGAGAAAAATCTTCCATAACCAGATACACAGTTTGTTCACTCTTTTCCTGTGGTTGAGCTCTGAGCCCTTCTGCTGAGCACCTGTTAAAAATGAAGATGCAAAGCCTGCAGGTCCAGTATCCAGTGGCTCTCCAGAAGTGCTTGATTATTGTGGATGAGAGCAGACAGAAGCAGAAGCCACTGGTGGCCGTGTGTAGGCCTATGCTCACACTCGGGGACAGGACAATTAATACCTAACAAGAAAAGGGAATACACAGCGTACATGTGCACAAACATCCCTCAGTGTGCCAAGAACAGCAGATTCCACCACTCCTCCCTTTTGCCATCACCACAGAGATAACAGAAATAATACACTGTAGGGCCCTGTGGCTATCAATGCTATCTGCCCAGCCATGTCCCTAGAGGAATACAGTAATCTTTTTCAGAGGACTTTAACCCTGACAAGTGGTTCAGCCTTCAGGTTGATTGTCTACTGCCTTAGCAACCAAAGCCTCTTATTTTCATGGGGGTTTCTGAGCACGGTGATGTACCTGAGTTTAGGATATAAAAAAATAAGATAAGAGGTGGCTTCTCTTTTTTGCTTTTTTTTTTTTTTTGGATACGGAGTCTTGATCTTGTTGCCCAGGCTGGAGTGCAATGGCACGATCTTGGCTCACTGCAACCTTCGCCAACCGGGTTCAAGGGATTCTCTTGCCTCAGCCTCCCGAGTAGTTGAGATTACAGGTGCCCACCACCATACCCAGTTAATTTTTTTTTTTTTTTTTTTGAGACGGAGTTTTGCTCTTGTTACCCAGGCTGGAGCGCAATGGCGCGATCTCGGCTCACCGCAACCTCCGCCTCCCGGGTTCAGGCAATTCTCCTGCCTCAGCCTCCTGAGTAGCTGGGATTACAGGCACCCGCCACCAGGCCCAGCTAATTTTTTGTATTTTTAGTAGAGACGGGGTTTCACCATGTTGACCAGGATGGTCTAGATCTCTCGACCTTGTGATCCACCCGCCTCGGCCTCCCAAAGTGCTGGGATTACAAGCTTGAGCCACCGCACCCGGCCTTTTTTTTTTTTTTTTGAGACAGAGTCTTATTCCCTCACCAGGCGCCAGACTGGAGTGCCATGGCGCAATCTAGGCTCGCTGCAACCTCCACCTCCTGGGCTCAAGCAATTCTCCTGCCTCAGCCTCCTGAGTAGCTGGGACTACAGGTGTGCGCCACCACACCCAGCTAACTTTTGTATATATATATTTTTGTAGAGATGGGGTTTTACCATGTTGGTCAGACTGGTCTGGAACTCCTGACCTCGTGATCCACCTGCCTTGGCCTCCCAAAGTGCTGGGTTTACAGGTGTGAGCCACCACGCCCGATTTGTATTTTTAGTAGAGACTGGGTTTCACCATGCTGGCCAAGCTGGTCTCAAACTCCTGACCTTGTGATCTGTCTGCCTCGGCCTCCCAAAGTGCAGGGATTACAGGCGTAAGCCACTGTGCCCGATTTTGTATTTTTAGTAGAGACTGGGTTTCGCCATGTTGGCCAGGCTGGTCTCGAATTCCTGACACTACCATATGAACTCAATATTCAATGCCAGTAATTTTACAAAGGGGCAGAACAGGACAGAACAGACATGTAAATTTAACAACACGCACTGCAAACAGTAGGTACCCAAGTGGCTTCCAGCCAGCCCTCCACACAAGCAAGTTAGGATGTCAAGAACCCATAATAAAACAATTTTGGCACATTGTGTTTCTAGAAAGGGGCACTTCGTTCTCTTTTAAATACCAATGTCCCTTTAGGAAGATGCTAGTCAACAGTATCTTCATTTTGTAAATAAGAAAACCAAGGTCCAGAGAAATGTAAAGTAACCTGGCCCACAACATAGTGAATCAAATTGTTGAAAACTTGGTGTTTCCGACATTTTCCAAGCCGTCTGCCCTCAGACAAGACAGCAATGACTAGAATATCAAGAAATGTTCTCTCTCCTGTGAGACAGCTACAAAGAATACTTCGGGCAGGTCAGGATGGTGTAGGAGGAACAGCTAGAGGGCTTCCATAGCATGAACAATACAGCAAAGAAAAACAGGAAAAAAGCCTTAATCCCAGACAGACTAAACCTCAAAGACTGATATAGATCTTTAATTTAAAATCAAGTGAGTTTATTCATGAAGAAAACAGTAACAAAAGGCCCTTGGGACTTTTTTATTCCAACAATTAAAGTTGCATTAAAAAGACAACAGGGAGTCTGGGGCCCGAAATGTCAAGTGGAAAAACGAAATTCCTCTTTCCCTGGGTTCACATGTATTTTTTTGGCAAGAGAGAGTTGTGATTAGCTTCTTTTCTAAGAGACAAGACTTTCCAGTTCCATTGTTTTCAAGTGTAAAGGATTCTTCTGTGAGAACCAGAGAAGATCAAAGAGATCAAATAATTTGATGACTCAGGGAGTTAAGATGAGAGGTTCACGGAACCCCAATTTTACCATAAATTACCAGATGCAGTGGAGAGAGGGGCGCTATATTTCCCATTAATAAAATCTGAGGTATCTAAAGACTCTGCAGACACGGAAACTCACCTCTACCTCCCTCAAAGGAAATGGCAGAGGCTGAGAAGGCTGTTGTGGAAGAACATAGCTTCTTGGACTGACTTCTAACGTACGCTAGAGGCAACATGTAACTAGGATCAGACCATGGCGAATACTTCTCTGAGCAAAGTGGCTAATGCGTTTACTTCTGCATGGGTTCCAAGGCAACAGTATGATCAACGATGAGTTCTTCCCTGTCTCTGTTTTTGGCTTGTCTGGGTGATGAAGTTCATGGCAATACCTAACAACATGGTCATTTACAGTAAGAAGGTGACTGAGTAAAAGGATGGGATCTCCAAGTCTCAGCTGTCAGGGTTTATCCTGGCCCGTTTTACTTGGGTATCCTGGTCCTCCAGATGGCAGAAGCTTTCTGTAGTGATGTCTCTTTTTTTATCCTCCATGGGCTCTAAAGGGAAATTCTGGTCTGTGGCCAGCACCTGTCGAACGGTCATGTTAACACGAGCAGTCTTCAAGTAGCTGGCACACACCTGCCAGTCCTCCACAGAACAGGGCTCTATCATTGAATCTCTGGGGAGCACAGCAGGGAGAGGTGCCTCTAGGCAGTGAGGCAGGCCTTCCCCCTCTGGATTTGGAAGGACACGAGGGACAGCATGGTTCAACAGGCGGCTGAAACCCGACATTATCATGATGTCACCACTGTGCATAAACATGGCCGTGGGGGCCTCATCCCTTTGCAGACCACCCAGGAGAAAGATGGCAGACTGTCCAAAGCTACAAAAAATAAGTAAAAACAACACAACACACAACAGTTAAGTTTTGTTTACTGACCATGACTGGGAAAGTTACTGCCAACTGTGTTATTTTCTAATTTCAGCTTGACATTTATTGCTCCCAAATCCTCCTTTTTAAACAGTGCTAAGATCCTTCTCTTCTGGCTTGTGTCTATGAGTGACCAACTCATGACCTTCTACCTGTACTTATGACAGCCCACAGAACTGCTGCAAAATAAAATTTGATGCAGTTAAATAAGCAAATGGAGAACTCAGCTTTAACATTATCCATTTAAGTTTTATTGATTTTTTTTTTAGATAGTCTTTTTTTTTTTTTTTTTTGAGACGGAGTTTCGCTCTTGTTACCCAGGCTGGAGTGCAATGGCACGATCTCGGCTCACCGCAACCTCCGCCTCCTGGGTTCAGGCAATTCTCCTGCCTCAGCCTCCTGAGTAGCTGGGATTACAGGCACGCGCCACCATGCCCAGCTAATGTTTTGTATTTTTAGTAGAGACGGGGTTTCACCATGTTGACCAGGATGGTCTCGATCTCTTGACCTCGTGATCCACCCGCCTCGGCCTCCCAAAGTGCTGGGATTACAGGCTTGAGCCACCGTGCCCGGCCTAGATAGTCTTACTCCGTCACTCAGGCTAGAGTGCAGTGGTGCGATCTTGGCTCACTGCAACCTGTCTCCTGGGTTCATGCCTTAGCCTCCAGAGTAACTGGGATTACAGGTGTGTGCCACCATGACTGATTAATTTTTGTATTTTAGTAAAGATGGGTTTTACTATGTTGGCCAGGCTAATCTCGAACTCCTGACCTCAAGTGATCCACCTGCCTCAGTCTCCCAAAGTGCTGGGATTACAGGCATGAGCTACTGATGCATCTTTGAGTCTTTCAATAAAATCATGAGTTCTTTACTATGTTTATCATTCCTCATTATAAAGCAGTTAATAAAAGGTACTTTGCAAAGATACAGGTGCAAAACTTGGCACAAATATATTTATTTATTTTAAAAGATGGGGTTTCACCATGATGGCCAGGCTGGTCTTGAACTCCTGACCTCAGGTGATGCACCCACCTTGGCCTCCCAAAGTGCTAGGATTACAGGCGTGAGCCACCGCGCCTGGCCACTTGGCACAAATTTAAACTTACTTTTAGGGAGACAAGGAGAGTAAACTACTCAGGTTTTTGTGCTTTGCTCTATATTTTGCTCTTCTATTCCAAAGGAATAAGCAAAGCCCTTTTTCCAAAAGCAAAGCATTTGACTTTTTTGGCCTTCCACTGTCTATTCCACAAAGCACTGACAATATCTCTCATGATAAAAGGTAGGCTCCATATGTCTTAAACAGAAATAGTAACTATAACTTGTTAAAATTCCCAGAAGTGAAAGATTTAGAGTCTAACCGTTTTTTTTTTTAAAGTTAAATATCTGTATTTATTTTAGGTTAAAATGCCTTAGAAAAAAGAATTACATGATAAAAAGTAATCCCAAATCCCTGGAACTAACTCACCTGAATGACAGCAAGGGTTTGGAGTGATCTAGTTCAGATCTGTCTACGTGGATGCCCAGTGTGGAGTCCAGGTGGTAGTAATTCAGGATACCTGCTTCGGCTCGGAAACCCTGAAACCCACAGGCAGCGGCTACTTGCTCTGAGAGGAAAGCCAGGTCAGGAGGGAAAGGTGTGTAATGATCTGCTGAGTATTTCTTTGGTAAATGTAGAGAGAATAAAAAAATACACAATGATCTCAGGAATATAGGAAACCGTGGCATAAGATTAATTATCACTTAAAAATAATCTAACATATTAACACAGCATTATCTATCCACCTTTTTTTTTGATGGAATTTCACTCTTGTCTCCCAGGCTGGAGTGCAATGGCAAGATCTTGGCTCACCACCAACCTCCACCTCCTGGGTTCAAGTGATTCTCCTGCCTTAGCCTCCCGAGTAGCTGAGATTATAGCCATGTACCACCACGCCCAGCCACTTTTTTGTATTTTTAGTAGAGATGGGGTTTTACCATGTTAGCCAGGCTAGTCTTGAACTCCTGACCTCAGGTGATCTGCCCATCTCAGCCTCCCAAAGTGTTGGGATTACAGGCGTGAGCCACAGCACTGGCTCACCTTTTTTTTTTTTTTTAAAAGACAGGTTCTCATTCTGTTGCCCAGTGTTGTGATCATGGCTCACTGTAGCCTAGACCTCCGGGTCTCAAGTGATCCTCCTAACTCAGTTCCCAAGTAGGTAGGACCACAGGTGCATGCCACCACGCCTGGCTAATTTTTTTTTTTTTTTTTTTTTGGCAGAGAGAAGGTCTTAATACGTTGCCTAGACTGGTCTCAAACGATCCTCCTGCCTCAGTCTCCCAAAGCATTGTGATTACAGATGTGAGCCACCATGCCTGGCCTATCCATCCATTCTTGAGGTATCCAATTATTTAATAATAAGTAATTCAAAAACCCAAGCACCTGTTATGTAACAGGCACTGTGCTATATACTGTATTGAGACCATACATGAAGCAATTACTCCACCCTCCTCTAGTTAGTATACTTTACCCGTAAACAAGATAGTTCTGTTAGGGTAAAAAGGCAACTCAAAACTGTCACTGCCACGAGGTGCCTAAGAAAACACAATGACTAAATATAATGTAGGCCAGGCATGGTGGCTCACGCCTGTAATCCAAGCACTTTGGAGGCCAAGGTGGGTGGATCACGAGGTCAAGAGATCGAGACCATCCTGGTCAACATGGTGAAAGCCCGTCTCTACTAAAAAGACAAAAAAATTAGCTGGGCATGGTGGCGCATGCCGGTAATCCCAGCTACTCAGGAGGCCGAGGCAGGAGAATCGCCTGAACCCAGGAGGCGGAGGTTGCGGTGAGCCGAGATCGCGCCATTGCATTCCAGCCTGGGTGACGAGTCAAACTCCGTCTCAAAAAAAAAAAAAAAAAAGATAGTTTTAAACTAAGGAAATCTAAATGACATACAAATGTTATTATTATAGTAATATATTACTTTGGCCGGGCGCGGTGGCCCAAGCCTGTAATCCCAGCACTTTGGGAGGCCGAGGCGGGTGGATCACGAGGTCGAGAGATAGAGACCATCCTGGTCAACATGGTGAAACCCCGTCTCTACTCAAAATACAAAAAATTAGCTGGGCATGGTGGCTCGTGCCTGTAATCCCAGACTCAGGAGGCTGAGGCAGGAGAATTGCCTGAACCCAGGAGGCGGAGGTTGCGGTGAGCCGAGATCGCGCCATTGCACTCCAGCCTGGGTAACAAGGGCGAAACTCCGTCTCAAAAAAAAAAAAGAAAGGGATCATCCCACAAATACATAATCTTGATACCTTAAGCGTGGCCAGGAAGAAGTACAATTATATGGGCTAAAGAAGCCTATAAACAGAAAACCAAAGAATTAAGAAAATCTGAATACCTTACTGTCCCAGTTATAATGGTAGCCTAGGGTCACCCAACGCAGTTTCTCCAGTAAACTTCGGGGTCTTCGTTTGTTCACTTCTTTGAATCTGCAAAGATGGTGACAAAAGAGGATTTATTCATGTCAAATGGCAGCAATAGCCATTTGTGTGGACTCTGGAGTTAAATTTAGTATTACATGGTAAAAGCTGTTAGCCAAGACTAGTAGGAGAAATTAGAAGAGATAAATGAGTAGACCACAAATATGTTAACAGAGAAAAACATGCTAGCACTTCTAATTTATAATCTTTTGTTCTAAATCCTCTGCTGAATGGGGTCAACTTTAAATCACAAGCCTTCAGCATCTCAATAACAATAAAAGAAGAATGACAACAATGACAAAAGAAATGTCTTTACCTGTCCATGGTAAATGGGACCAAGAGCACTATGGGCAATAAAAAATATGACTTACAGAACATTTTCAGTTTGGTTTACTAAAAGTAGGGTATAATTAATCACAATGATTTCTATGTCTATACTGATGGTGGCTTCCCAAAATTGGAGGTTGGGAAAAAGTTTAGCAAAATATAGCATCAGGTACAATAAAAAGTAACTGGTTTAACATGACGTCTTTAACTCTGTATAATGTAGCCTAGATAATTGAGGCTAACAATTAAAGTACCATTGTAATTGATTTGTTTTCTAACATACCCCTGTTCAAAGCACAGGAGGTTTCTATAAAACTGAGAGGTGCCCTTTCTGCAATTATATCTTGTCTGATGAAATCTATGTGATTAACTACTCTTTTTCTGAAGAGGAAGCTTGTTTGTTTGGCTCTTCTCTAAACTTCTAAAAACACAAGAATGGTAGGCCTAATGACTCAGTTAATTTTTCTCTCTGTTATTTACATCATTGATCAATCAAAAAAAATTTTGGCCAAAAACTACAGCTGTTTAAAAGAGAAAAAATCAGAGTTCTTTAAGGAGTTATGTTGTGACAGGAAATGACAAATATAAGAATGAAAAGTCTACATAGAAATACGAGGGAAACTGAAAACAGTATAAAGTCTAGTACTAAAGTAAATAGCAGACTTTTGAGGGGCATGAGAATTAAGAAAAAGGAGAGTTCAAAGTCAGTTGTTGAATCAGTTGAGGCTTCTTGGCAGAGTTGGGAGTTGAGCACGGCACTGAAGAATGAGCAGCATTTAAACAGGGAGTGATGCAGTAGGCAATACGGGCACACAACACCAGCAAACGCAAAGGATTTATTGAGGCCCACACTGTTAAGTGGCATTCATCTTGATGTTTGACAACGAGTTTACAGAACAGATGCTATCTGTCCTCACAGAGTTTACATTCTAAGAAGGACATTATGACACATACATACATCAAGACCAGCAGATAAAAAGGAATGAACAAACACAGATTTATTTAGGACAGGTGTGCAGAAAAGAGACATAGCAGACTTGACTGATGGTCTGCTTACAAAGATGGTCCTTGGCAAGGTTCACACAATTCTCTGGAACTGTTAAGAATGGCTTACTGCACCTAAATTGTTTGTACAAACAATATGGTTTATGGCCAGCACCTGCTTTGCTTCTGGGTTTGTGATTTTGGCACATGTCAGGCAGAGGCTGCCTATACAAGCTCCTAGTAAAAACCTGGGCACTGAGCTTCTTTGGTAGACATTTCACAGATTTTGTCACAACCCATTGTCATATCCTGTGTGACTTCGTTCGGAGAGGACTTTTGGAGGCATGCACCTGGTTTTCCCTGAATTTTGCTCCATGCGCCTTTTCCCTTTGCTGATCTTGCCTTGTATGCTTTCACTGAGATAAATCTCATCTGTGAGTACAACCATATGCTGAGTCCTGTGAGTCCTTCTGGCGAATCATCAAATTTGGGTGTGGTTTTGGGGACTCCCTGACACAACAGGAGACCAAAAACTAGTAATTCAGGAAAAAACATATATAAGGCTTGGCCACTGCAACTAACTGATTTAAACAATTACAATATGGATAACAACCATATATTACTTAATATTTGTGCATAAAAACTGAAAAACGGAAAAAAATTGTAGATCACAACTTGAGGTCTACCAATGTTTATTCAGCTAATGGTACAAATGAAAGAACTCCCTGATGTTCTCCTCTAGAGAACATGTTCTATTTTAGTAGCCTGAGACAGAAAAATAAGCATGACTCATGCGGACTTTGTGGTTAATGGAAATATAAATGTAGTTCCAGAGTTACATAAGCACCCTACAGAGGTGATCCATTCTATTTTTCTTTCCAAGGTATTACTTTGCAGCCAATTCCTTATTTTAAGGCAATCTCTAGGATACAAGAAAATGCTGTTGAAGAAAAGGATGATGATGATCTTATGGATACTGAAGCTATGTGTTTTTGAGGAGTGGGAAAAAGAAAGAGAGTAGAAGTGGCAGTAAAAGATGAAAGAAGTTGGTCATCTAAGGCTGGAATCCAGAACTCAAAATAGATGGTACCCTGAGTATCTAAATGGCAGAGTCTTTTAAATGAAACAAAAACCAAAAATATAGAGATGTGGTCTCAGTATGTTGCCCAGAATGGTCTTAAACTCCTTGGCTCAAGCAATCTTTCTGCCTTGGCCTCCCAGAGTGCTAAGTTTACAGGTGTGAGCCACCGCACCCAGCTGCAGGGTCTTTTTTTTTTTTTTTAACAGTCCAGAGAACACCTATTATGCTATGAATCCATAGGGAATAGGGTCCAGCAGCTCAGCCTCCTTCCCATTGGATCTCACAAAGTATGCTTCTCTGAGTGGAGCAGGCTGGCGCTTCTGCTGAACGCAGGGACCTTTCTCTTTGGCATCTTTCTTTTTCTGATCATTTTCCTTCACACATTTCAGGAAGCTGTCTTGGCTCTTAGTGTGCTTAATGTGCTCAATATGCACATTAATTCTCTTGCTCTTATTTGTTTACAACAATGCCAACAGCATGCTGGAGAACACTGTAGACCTTTCCAGTTTTGCCATGGTAACACTTGGGGGACAATCTTTTTTGAACAGTACCCATTTCCATTATGTCCACAATATCATCCTCCTTTTTTTTCTTTTCTTTGAGATGGAGTCTTGCTCTGTCACCCAAGCTGGAGTGCAGGGGTGCAATCTTGGCTCACTGGAGCCTACACCTCCCGGGTTCCAGCAAGTCTCCTGCTTCAGCCTCCCGAGTAGCTGGGATTACAGGTACACGCCACCACGCCCAGCTAATTTTTTGTATTTTTAGTAGAGACAGGGTTTCACCATGTTGGCCAGGCTGGAACTCCTGACCTCAGGTGATCCGACCGCCTTGGCCTCCCGCAGTGCTCGGATTACAGGCATAAACTACCATGCACAGTTGACAATATCACCTTCTTATAGATACGCATATACATGGCCAAAGGAACAACCCCATGTTTTCTAAAAGGCCTAGAGAACATCCATTAGGTATCTCTCTCTCCTCTTTCCCTCTGTGTTCATCATTTTGGCAAATTACTAGAAGACGGCAGTTCCATTTGCCATTACTGGAAGATGGCAAATTACTATACAGGCGATTCTAGAGAGTCCTAAGAGCTCTACAGAAAGCCTTTACAGAACCTGTCTGTATCACACTTAATTTTTGCCCAGTGTTTCTCAAACTTCAATGTATATCAGAATCATCTAGAAGGCATGCTGAAACTCACATGGCTAGGTCCAGGCCCACAAATTCTTATTCAGCAGCCCCGGAGTGGGGCTTAAGAACTGCATTTCTTTTTTTTTTTTTTTTTAAGACGGGGTTTCACCATGTTGGTCAGGCTGGTCTTGAACTCCTGACCTCAGGTGATCCGCCCGCCTTGGCCTCCAAAGTGCTTGGATTACAGGTGTGAGCCGCCACACCCGGCCAAGAACTGCATTTCTAATAAGTTCCCAAATGACACTTACGCTGCTGGTCCAAGAACTACACTTTGAAAACCACTATTCTAAACTAAAAAACTAAACACAGTATCTTCATCTCCTTCAGTTCAACAACAGATTCTTTTCTTTTCTTTCTTTTTTTTTTTGAGACGGAGTTTTTCTCTTATTGCCCAAGCTGGAATGCAATGGGGCGATCTCAGCTCACTGCAACCTCTGCCTCCCAGGTTCAAGCAATTCTCCTGCCTCAGCCTCCCAAGTAGCTGGGATTGCAGGCATGCACCACCACACCCGGCTAATTTTGCATTTTTTTTTTTTTTTTTGAGACGGAGTTTCACTCTTGCTACCCAGGCTGGAATGCAATGGCGCGATCTTGGCTCACTGCAACCTCCGCCTCCTGGGTTCAAGCAATTCTCCTGCCTCAGCCTCCCGAGCACCTGGGACTATAGGCGCGCGCCGCTATGCCCAGCTAATTTTTGTATTTTTAGTAGAGACGGGGTTTCACTTTGTTGACCAGGATGGTCTCAATCTCTTGACCTCGTGACCCACCCGCCTCGGCCTCCCAAAGTGCTGGGATTATAGGCGTGGGCCACCACACCTGGCTAATTTTGTATTTTTAGTAGAGACGGGGTTTCACCATGTTGGCCAGGCTGGTTTCGAACTCTTGACCTCAGGTTATTCACCCCACCTTGGCCTCCACACAGTCATAGCTTGCTGCAGGCTTAAGCAGCAAGAATCCTCCCCACCTCAGCTTCCTGAGTAGCTAGAACTACAGGTGTGGTTTTCTGGTAGAGAAAGGGTTTCACCATGTTGGCCAGGCTGGTCTTGAATTCCAGACTTTAAGTGATCCACCCACCTCAGCCTCCCAAAGTGCTGGGATTACAGGCATGAGCCACTGTACCCAGTGAGAGATGTTATGTTGGCTTCTTAGAAAAGGAACTAACTTAGGTGCCAGGCGCAGTGGCTGACACCTGTAAACCCAGCACTTTGGGAGGCTAATTTTTAATTTTTTTGTAGAGACAGGGTCTCTCTATGTTGCCCAGGCTGGTCTTGAACATCTAGCTTCAATCAATCCTTCTGTGTTGGCTTCCCAAAGTATCAAGATTACAGACATGAGCCACTGTGCCCAGCCTCATTTTATGAAGAATCTCTACTATTACATCAGTATCAGACTGATCTGAAAAAATAAACCTAACACTAACGTAGCT